ACGAAGCTGAAGAACATATGTGAGTTCCACATTTCAGCCCCAAAGGGGCTGCGCTAACAAGCTTTTCTATTCAATATCTGCTATAGACACATGTTATTGTCTTTAATTTAATTTTAATACATACATATTTTTCACTGCGTTTCTAACCTTATAAAAGATAATACTTGATACCCACAATACCCAATAGTTATCATATGTCTTATACTATCTCATTGAGCTACAGTACTTGATGATTGACTTTTATGCTGCTAATAAGTCAATGGTTCTTCAATTTGGAGCACTGTCAGAGATAGTTTAAAATTAATTGTTGTTAATCATGTTCATTCTTTTTTTATATTTGAATAATGCATCGATCGTGATTATCATAATAACAACTGTTACGAGATGTCTTAATAAATATAAGCTGATCTGCATTGTATGAATTATATTAAGCACCATATTTAGTAATTTTTCTTCTGATAAATTTGCATAAGTATAACATTGAAAACACAATGGATACTTGAGATTTTAACAAAGCATACAGTCAGAAAGAATTATTTATTATTAATATTGCTAAATGCAAATGACTTGACGTAGTGGCACATTTCTTAGGGTCACGAGCATCAATGTAGTCAGCTTTTAATCAGATAAAAGTATATCCTTTTTTTCTTTTTCTTATTTTCTTCAATTTGATCATAATCAGAAAATAAAATTATGAAAATATCTATATTTAAGTGATTTCTATGCAAAAATACATTTTAAAAGACATCATTATTGAAGTTTGTCTTGTCTATGGATTAATATATACATGTCATACTGTTTCTTTCAGCTTTGGTAACTTACTCAATTATGAAAATATAATGAGTACGATAAAACTAACTTGTAGATTTATTTATTTATCCTAACTGAGAGTATGTGAAGAGAACAGTTAATTAAAGGCGATTCTATGTTGGTTTGCTTGCATTTTATATAGAAAAGTAATGCAAATATATGCTTATTAAGAAATCATTTTTAAGGTGAGAAGCGCCTATGTAGTGATTCGTCACGAGTTTTCTTCGTTATTTATTTATTTTTCTTACTAAGAATATGCATCAAAAGTTGTAATTTTCTGACACGATGACCTCGGAAATGAAAATTAAAGAATATTCGCTAAAATGTAAGATGAAAATATCTGGATTGAATCTTGTAGTTACGCGAAGGTCTCAAGATTAGAGAAAGGGATGTATGGGAAAATATCTCGCAAGAATACTAAGAAAGATTAGAAAACCATGCTTAGTTTTATTGGATAATAACGAAGAATTTTCAATTATTGACGTATTGTACACACCTCCCCCTACTATTGCAGTCTATGATTGAATTATTATCATCCGTTTTTCGATTTTCAGTAAGCTATTCAGTTTTTTCATAGAAAACTCGACAAAATTAGAAATTATTGTAAACTTTAGTTTTTGTTTCTACATTCCAGATAACTAAAATGAAAACAGTGACAGATTTAGTTGTACGATCAGTTGATTCTAAGTCATGACTAATGAAAATCATTAAATAATCAATGCAATCTATATTCATGCCAAGAGAAAAAGCGTGTGTGAGAAAAGTATTCGCAGAGATCTCAAGTTGCTTTCATCTAGGAATGCTCGAATTCCTACAACATGATGTCAAAGATGAAATTTCTTTTCTTATTGCGAATGTACGTTCTGAGGATTGTTTAAATCAACCATGATTACTCTATTCAAAGCTATAGTCGCAATACATGAAATAGAAAACCAAAGTTTTGGAATTGATCGATTAACCTATTCCCACTGATTTTAAGAGCTATATATTGTATTAAACAAAATCTAAGAACAGATTCGAAAAGAGCGTTCTAAATTGAACACAACTGGCATGAATAATCGTTAGGAGTTCGATAATTCTCAATACTGAGCGTATGTTTTTGTGTGCAGGGATTACACAATTCTTTGAATTTCTAGTCGAACTTAAGAGTATTTCCAATATTGAGAATTATCGGATTTTTAGCTATTCTCAATGCCAATTGTGTTCAGGTTTGAACGCTATTTCTGAATAGATTCTTAGATTTTGTTTAAAGTAAAACTCATATCTTAAAATCAATCAGAAATGATCAAAGAAAAACTATAACACGAGACCTTTTAACTAATTCCGAAACCTTTGTTTTCTATTTCATTTATTTCGATTAAAATTTCGGATAAAGTTATCATGGTTAATATAAATAATTTCTAGGGCATACATTCTTAATAGGAAAAGAAATGTCATCTTTGACATCTTGTTCTAGGAATTAGTGCATCCTTAATTTCATCACTATATTTTCTTGAAAGAATCTATTATTGCCGATCTACTAGGCCGAAATAAAACATTTCTTGTTAAGTAAACAAGACAAAAGCAAAAAAAGCATGCTTTGAGAAGAGCAAAGATTGATAGACAAAGAAACATTTTATCAAATTAATTTTATATAACGTTATCCAACATACATACAAATGATCCGAAATTGTAAAAATTAAAAATAGAGATTCCTTCACATATTAATTCGTACTCCCGATTTTTTCGAAGTGCTATCTAACTACTTCACAAGTCGATATTTTTGCCTTTATTCTCTCAAGATTCTTTTTTTCTTTATATATTATATAGGATTCTTTTTCGTCTTGAATTTTAATCAAGAGTACTTTCTATCGATTAATAGAACGATGAAGAGACTCTTTTCAAAATTAGAAGATAGATAGTCATTCTTTGTTTCTTATATGTCTATATAAATCGCTTGCAGATGCTTCTTTGCTTATTTCTATAAAAACAATTAAGTTTTTTCTGATCTACTGAAAGAAAATCCTATCAAAATGACTACGAACATCTGCTTCTTGTTTTCTTATTACATTTATCAATAATGTAGGGCTTTCTTTGTTATATTATCAGTCTGCTCTTTTTTTAATGCTTCCAATTTTCGTAAAAACTTCAATGGTATGTATCGATTTGGCCGAAAGAAAAAAGTAGCGGAAAAAATGTCGATCATATGAAAATGGGACGGGGGGGGGGGGTATCAAAAGACTGAGGAATAGAAATTCCTTGACAGTTTCATGATTACTAAAATTAAAAAAGTACAACATCTACGATAGTATTTACTCTCACATTCATATTCATCAAAAAATTTGTGAACATGAATGTGTGGATATGAAAACTATTGCAGAAAAAATATTAGTCTGACTTTTCTGAATGGTGAAACTGTTAGGGAACTGATGGTCGATTCTTATTTCATCGAAGAATTATCATAGCTCTGTTGAGAGTTTCCTCCACAACTTACGTGAGAAATTCGTATTTTTCTTCAATCACATTCACATTTTATTTTATTTTGTCAATCTACTTGTATATCTCTCAATTTTTTTACATGCAATAAAATAACTTCATCTTGCTGGTCGTAAATCTCAAACTACACTTTTTTTTGACATTTTGTCTGTCATTTTTTTCTTCGGTTAAATCTATGTCATTCAACTTCAGCAATAAAATTAAAGCGTAAGAATCTTGCTAGCTTATCCAAGAAATTGTTCTATTTTGTGACGAAAATGAATAAAACTTGATTTTTAGTAATGATAATAATTGTGTCTACAGGATTTTTGTCAGACTGATAAGAATTCGTAAATCAAACAAGAGTCATGACACATCTGCTCAGCAAAAGAAAAGTTTCAGAAGAAAAACGACAAATATTGACTTGTGTTATTGAGATAATAAAAGAGTCCATACGTAAATAGTAACTTAAACACGATTTCATATTAAAAAGACAGACATACTTAACGTTTTATTATCCGAATGACGTATTTTTTTTGTAGATAATGCAGAATCTTTGTATTCATAATTTATCGTTAATTTGCGTAATGCTAAACATATGAATATGATATTATAGTGATAAAATGTATCTTAGATGAAATTGGACTTTATCTTGTTTCTTAGTTTTTTTCTTTTATGATTTAAATTCTCTTATTTATTGATTTCATAGAAATATTTATTACTATTAAAATTCTGCGTATATGACACTTAATTTAACAAATATTTAAACATTGATTACAATAAATCATATTTTTAATATAATGTACTAAAAATCAAAGTATCCTCATCTATTGGTAAAAGCAAATATCCTATTGGATGTTACCTTTTATGCTAATAAGAGCGCATGTACTAGGTGATGAGAAACGTTTACATGCATTTTTCTTTTACCTTGTTTCGCTTCATTGATTTTGTTTTCATTGAACAAATCACTACAAGTATTCGATTCAGTATGAATCGATGCTTACTCAATTTTATGTTTAGTTTCTTCACAGGTCTAATAGTTGATTCGTGATATAAATTATTAGAAGATATTTCAAATATTTATGGTTTTCAATTCTTTCTTTCTTTTTTACTCCGTTCTAATATACTACAGACGTTTTACGCGTATGCCAACCAATGATAAGAGCATGAAGAAAGTGTCCATGATAAATGCACCACTAAAAGATATTGGTTTTTTTACAGCTTGAAAATTTATACTTCAGTCAATAATATCAATATATTTTATATTTTATTTGATTAAGATCTTCTCCAGAGACATCGATGAATTTTCTTTTCTTTCTATCCTCTAAAGTGTACTTCATAAGATAAGTACAAAATCTTTTTAAGAAAAGAAAAGAAAAGAAAACAACAACAACAAAAATGTTAGTTATCATGTATCCAAGAAACTTGACAACAGTCAAGAGCAAAAGGCGTGCTGCACTCTTTTTTTTCTACCTCCTTCTTACATGAATGCACAACCTTCTTTTTTTTTATCTATTATAAGTAGTGGGCGAGTCAATTTTTATCGCTAGTATCATCCTAGTTGTTTGAAAGAAAAAGAAACGTGTTATAATTATGTTATAAAAGTAAATTTTATTTAACACAAACGATTATTTATCTTTTTTTTTTCATATAAATAGCTAATGACTATATTTCAGCTGCAAAGGCGTATCTATAAATGGTGCATCGTCTGCACTTTTATGATGTTTACTACAAGTATGTTTAATATTCTATATATTTCTCGACATGCTGTTTCAACTGAACATAATGCATTTATAACAACATCATTATCTCTTGCAGCAAATTCTCAAACAAACACATCAGATAACCAATCAGAAACAAAATATAATTTATTTGATGAAACTTATCAAATATTTTTACAAAGCTTTACCGCTAATTTTATGTTCATATTAGCACGTCAAAATAAATCTTCATCACATTGTCCATCTATACCACCTAATTTAAAAGGTCCAATAATCATGCAAGACCCACCAGAAAATTTTTCTCTTTTGAATAAATCACCGTATCATCTAGAAGTTCAACATGGTGGTTATTATCATCCAAAAACATGTTTAGCTCGTCATAAAATTGCTATTATAGTACCATATCGAGATCGTTGGGATATTTTAAGACATTTTCTTTTCCATACACATGAATTTTTACAACGACAACAATTAGATTATCGAATATATGTATGTGAACAAGCATTTGATAAAACATTTAACAAAGGCATTGTAATGAATAGTTGTTTTAAAGAAATTTTAAATCTTGAACCAAATACACCATGTTTTATAATGCATGATGTAGATTTATTATTAATTGATGATCGAAATATGTATACATGTCCATCATATCCGCGTCATTTAAGTGTTGCTATTGATAAATTTGATTTTTATTTACCTTATCCAGAACTTGTTGGTGGTGTTTTAGGTAAGCCAAAAATAATTATATACCTTCAAAAGTTATTATTTCATACTTTTGATAAAAGAATTTTGTAGTTTTAATCTAACACTAAGTCTCGTATGTATATTATCCCTTTAGGATCGTTCAGATCAGAGAGTTAAACTTAGCAAATAAATAAGTCTCATATCTATATCTATCTATATTTTATGGTAAAATGACAATTACTGCGATAATAATTTATTATAGACATAGTAGATAGGCTTAGAGTAATAGTAGTACAAACTATTTATGAATATTTTATCATTGGTTTTGTTTTTCTACGAGGTTGAAAATAATTAAGAAAACCCGATTTACTAATTGAAGATATAATGGTATATTTTCATTAAAGTGCAAATAGATTATTCAACAATACTGATTCTTATATAATATTCAAAAATTGAATAAACCTAGAGCATATAAAATGAAATGAACCGAGCATTGACTTTATTTTAATTTCAAATTAAATGTAGAAATATAAAAAAAATCCATAAACAAAAAATGTATTACAAAAAAAAAACAAATAACAGAAATTCTGTGTATCACATATGAAATATTGATTTAAAGTATTATACTTCATAAAAATAAATAGGTCTTTGCATTTGATCTGTATCTAATACTTCATAATAAATAAATACTCTTAGAATTTGTTTTTCAGAAGCTTTTTATCATATAATAAACTCGTAATTAGTTTTTTTATTAGATTAAAAGACAAGAAAAAGAAATATCATTATTTACATATTAATTTCCGTAGTAACGCAAAACCGGAGATAAGACTTTTTTTTTTCTTTCTTTTAGCAATGCGTCGTGAACATTATACACTTGTTAATGGTTATTCAACTAATTATTGGGGCTGGGGTGGTGAAGATGATGATATGTATAAACGTATTACTAAGAAAAATCTGATTCTTGAACGACCACCAGCATCTATAGCACGTTATAGAATGTTAAAACATACACATCAAAAATTAAATCCTGCCCGTATGAAAGTTTTACGTACAGCACATATTCGTATTGATTCTGACGGTGTTAATAATGTTAAGTATAAATTACTTAATACAACTTTTCATCATCTTTATACGCATTTTTTAATTGATGTTGGTGAACAAAGAAGATAATAAGAAGTTTCTTTTGTTGTTATTTTTGTTATAAAATAACTTTTTCTCCAAAAAAAAACCAAGGAATTTTTTTTTACTTTATTTTTTAAAGACAATGTCAGTTATGCTTAAAAGTACGATATCACAAAGATATTGAGTTAAAATAAAGAGGTTATATATGAGTTTCTTTTTTGTCTTTTTGTTATTTTTTGCCAATCACACTGCATGACACTTCATCGGTAGAATCACCACAATGATCATGTGTATCACATTGAAGTTTTTTCGAAATACAATTCTTATTTTTACATAGAAAAAAGCCAAGATGTTGAGGACATGCAGCAACCGCTGAATAAAAATTATACAGATCGATTAATTCATGAAAATAAAGGCAACATTGGACCGAGTCATTTAAATGTTTTTAAAGAAACTTTGACATCTGAAATATTTCGATCTATTTCTAGTGGCATTTAATCTAGACTTTAAAAATAATATAAAACAGTAAATTATATTAGTTTCATAAGCTTGATCATGCTCGTCAAATACAATGACTCAAACTTCGAGTCCGATTTCGCAGCTCTGACTATCCTAAATTAATGTCGTTAGGAGTCGGTCGAAATATTTTAGGTATAAAAATTTCTACAGCAATCTTTAAATGATTTCCCCAGCCTTGAACAAAATAGACGATTAGATTTTAACTAGACAACTGCATAAATATATAGGATTGTAGAGAAAGACTTCTTCTATCTAATAGAGCTTATGTAGTATGAAGTTCCACTGAGTACTGTTGATGTGTCAATAGATAGCGCCATCTATTCGCATGTCGACGATACACAGTTGAACTTGAGACTGCACAGACTATTAAATAGAGAAAGTCTTTCTCTATATTCCTTTTTTGTAGTTAAAAATTATCGAAAAACTTATAGTTGTCATTTACCTGGAAAATGAAGTGCAACAGCTATTTGAAAACCAGATGATTTAGTACCTGGACCACTGGTAAATGTAAATGTTGCTTGTCCTGTTGTAGTCTAAATAGTATAAAAAGGAATTTTTTAAAACTCCAAAAAATAATCATTGAATATCATACAGTAAAAGTGAATAAAGAAGGCGTACCACATTGTTGTGTAACATCTTTATTAAGTAATGTTGAACCATCATATATTTTTAATAAATCATTTGGACAATTAACAATATTCATTTTTTCTATTGTAATAACAAATCGTTGTGTTTGTTGAGCCGTACGAAATTTGATAGAACACTGGAAATTCGGCTGATATTTACTGCTGCTTGTTAATTGGAAAAATGTACCAGGTTTAGAGTCACCATCAAGAATTATCGATTCATTTCCACACATTTTATCCATGAAGACTATGAACAGAAAATATTCCATTACAATTTCATTTCCATAGAAAAAATTATGAATTCGAAAGAGTATATATCGCTAAAGTGAATTCTATTCTTCAGAAAATTTTAAACAAGTTTTAATACTTACACTTATCACTGCTAGCCTTAACATCGCTCAACCGAATAATAACAATGTAGAAAGTCAAAATTAGAAATTGGCCAATGTTTTTCATTGTATTGTTAACTTTAAACCTTAAGAAAAGACCGTACTCTGATGTATTGAAATTACTAGTCAAAAGAGAACTAAGTTCTGTTTCTTTTATAGATCAAAAATGCATCTCACATATGATAACAAATGCAAATTAAGCTTTGTTGTTTGGTTGTTTTTTTTTTCGAAAATTAAAATATGACACAATGTATTGATAAGGCTAAACTTTTGATAAGAGAAAAACGTAATGTGATCTATGATAAGTACTATATAAGTAACAGACGAAGAAATTTTTGATTGAATTTCTTAAGAGTAGAGTATACTTTTCGAAAAGAAAAAAATATTGATGCAGCAAAATTTGAAAACAAAGTAGACATTAATTAAGGATGCCCTCTCTTTTTTCGAATGTTTCTGGTTTTCGAAAATGGTACAACCGATTAAGCTGGAGTTTTTACTAGTGATAGAGCATCAAAAATAAGGATGTACGTGTTCGAAGAAAAAAAAAACAATATAAATAGATTTTTGCGTTTTGTTTTTTTGTCTGGGAAAGCCTGGTTTTCATAAGGCCGTATCCTAGTTGCTTTCGATCTCCATGTGACTTTGTCCAATCGAACTGCAAAAACTTTTAATACTGATACTTGAAAGTATTCTCCAAAGGTTAAATCGGTCACTTTTACTTTTGACTTTCTTATTCTGATTTACGGAATCCTGAAAGCTAAGATTCCGGTTTCAACACTGAAGCTTTATGTATTTCTCTCATAAACAAGAAAAAGAAAGTAAGATTCATATCTCCTTATTTTTGGTGCTCTATCTGTGACAAAAGTTTCAGTTTAATCGGTTGCATTCTCTTCGCCAGCCAGAATTAGTCAAAAAAGAGGAGGCTAACCTTAAGTTTGGTTCCTAATATATATACCAACCGTGTTATTAAATATGTCTATATTTGTTTATCTAGTCAAACGAATCACAATATATGTTAGGATCCAATCTTGGATTTGTCTAAATTCATCTTAGACATGTCTAATACGAGATTGAAGAAGAAATTTACGCTAAAACTCGAAACAGTCTACAGATTGATGCCGTATTCTTGAAGATTCAAACAGTTATGGGCAGCTTTTCATTGAAGTAGTCTTTGTGCGTAATAGTCTTGATTACTTCATAGATTTTGATCTAATTGATTAACTGATGATTACATTAAATGAAATGTTGTTACTTCCTGTCAGTTCATTGAGAAGAATCTCTGTGATATGACGATCACTCAAGCCACTCCAAGAATGATCCAAGTAGAAAAAAACGATATTTTCGTTGTCTAAGAGTATGTCAAAACTATTCTCTAGAAATTCTTAGCTATTTGGTGTTTACTATCAACGTATGTCACGAGCAGACTCGTGTGAGACCAAAAAAAAGGAACTTTACCGAGATCTAGACTGGAGTCGAGACCGGTATCGGTACTACGACTAGGACCGATGGATAAAAAGTTACTGGAACTGAGACACGAAAAAAAAACTTGGTCTGACACGTGTCTATTGATGAGCGTATTAGTTTGAGTTAATTTAATATAAGTCTGTCTGGCAATATAGTCCAAACACTTCATCGTACTGCACCAATATACCCTAATGATATTTGAGTCTTTTTAAATGACATATGCATATTTATCAGATTGTTCGTGTAGATGGATCAGAGAAAAATGAAATAATGAAGAAGTTATCTTTTAAGCACTGATAATCGTCCCATCAATATAACCCAGAACAATAAAAAAAAGTATTGTTTTTGTTTTAATTGACGATCATATTTGAAAAAAAAACGACAAAACTACTAATTTACTTTTACAATAAATAAAAATAGATAATATTAGTCTTATTATAGAACATAAATTTTCATTTCAGCATCGGTATATTGACGTTGTTTATAATATTTCATAGCTCTCGTTGAATATAATAAATATTTCAATTCAATACGTTTGATAATTGTTGATGGAGGTATGTGACTTCGTCGACAACGATTCGATCGATATTGTTTTTGATATGATAATACAGGTGATCGTTGAATAAAGGTAATTGCTGAAATAGATAATTCAAATTGTGTACAAGAATCATTAGACATTGATAATGTTGATGATAATGGCTGAGAATTATAAGATTTATTCGAACGTTTTGGTGTTGATGTTAACGGTACATGCAATTGAAATGAATCAATACTTGGAAGTAAAGATGATCCATCATCCATATTCAGCATTTTCGTATTCGTTTTTATTTCTTTAATAATGTTATAATATCAAATAGAGAAGATATTTATAAAGAAGAAGGAAAGAGAGAAAGAAGAAAAAAAAGACAACATTACGATTGTATATGTGTACATTAATTGGGTAAGAGAAAAATGACTCCCTTATCGAGTAAACATTGACAGCTAACTGCTAAACGGTGATAGACAGAACATGAAATAATTTAATATTTTGAAATTTTAAAAATCAAAATAAAGTTCGATTTGAAATCAAAAGTCAAAAGAAAATACTTGAACTAGTAGTTTTATTTTTCATCTCTTTGAAGTTTTATTTACTATCAATTAATATTATACTTATTCGATATCAATCTTTGATAAGAATATATATGTAATACATAGTCTATTATAGAGAAGACGAGAAAGTTTATTGTTTATGTGATGTTAAGTTTGAATGTAGGTGTGAATTGTAAAATAAAACAATGACGCGTGCCGTATCCTATACATTTAAATAGAGTCAAAACATTGAGCAGACAGCAATTACGCGGTACGAATAGAGGTGAAAAAAAAATTATTCTTAAGAAAATATTTAGCACATAACAAGCTTGAACAAATTCAAAGAACAATAAGTCTATTCAACACAAAATATAGATAAACATATCGAATGTTTATCTTATTAAACGGATATTGTCTATTCGTTCATAAATCAGAGCTAGCAAGAATATTTATGATAAAATTCAAGTTTTTCAATTATTTTTCTTATGTTACGTGAAATGAGTTAATGCCGATAAGTTTCTTTTATTAGTGGTGGACCTAGAGTTCTGGTAAACGGCGGCGATCATAGTCATAAAAACCGTGTTTTCAAGTCAAATTAACGGTCTTATTGACTCATTTTGAACATTCTATGCAGAGAAAAATAATTCAGAAGGAAGAGACGATCATCCCCAATATCCCTTCTTTAAACGTATCATTGTATTTTATTCATCTCACTGAGAACTACATAACACTGATATCGTACAGTTCAGTAGAACAAACTTTTTTCAAATCGAAATCTTGTTCGCTTTGTTTCGAAAGTTTTTGAGCAGCTTCGAATACCGTTTGTTCCTATCCCGAAAATTTTCGGAATTGTTTCTTAGGACTCTATGATATACCCTTGTCTGATATGAGCTCTGTTAAATAGAAAATTGTGCTCCAGTACAGCAAGTACTTTTACTTGTAAACAAATTTTTTGCTATTTGTCATTACTTTGGCAATATTGGTGTATTTCATTTCGTACAGTATTAAACAAAAAGTAAAATGACCCAATTAGGTTTATGTTTTATATAAAGCATAAAGATATTATTAAGAATTCACATATTAAATAAGTATCAATCCTAGCTCTCTTATAGACTCAATATGTTTGATTGAAAGTAGAATATTTTGGAAGTTCTTATTTGATATTTATTAAGAACATAGAATATTTATTTTTTTAATCAAGAGAAACTAAAACGAAAATATTAAAAAAAAAACGATTTTTAAATGTCCCAAATTTGTTTAATATTTTGACGATGATAATAACAGTCAGTTTTTGGTCGATAAAGAAGTAAATCAAGTTTTATGATTGGCATTTGATAATGTTGACAACATTTTTCACCTATCATTTTTGGTCGATTATCATTTTCTTTGATCTTATTTTTAAGAAGATTATAAAATTTATTTGGTGTTGATGAACGAGGTAATGATATTAGAGTTGGTTTTTTCGGTGTACTTGTTTGAAATAACATTTTTTTATTACAAGAAATTCTAAATCAAAATTCAATGAAGATAATTTTCATATCAAATATTTTCTTACTTTGTGTTCCTAGCCATATCAATGAATGGAAAAGAGAGATAGAGAGAGGGAGAGTGATTATTCACTTTTCTATATCAGGATATAATTGAAAGAGAGAAAATAAAAAAGAAGAAAATAGAATAACTGGTTAAATTAATCGTCTCCTACCGTTTTGTTCACATTTAAGTGATGACAATGATAGTACAAGCTGCGTGCTGTTGGGAAATATGTTCTACTATTGAGCAGATTTTTTCTCATCAACTACTATCCTAATATTCATATTAATATCCACAAATGCATTGATTTTTTTCTGTTTCTCGAAAATTGATGTGAAGCTGATTAGGCGTGAAACAAGCCTTTTCGCACACGTCCATCCGGTGTATCAAATTGTGTCATAATCGAACACACGAGCAGCTGGATAATCTATCTTACATATTGCTATATGTAAGTATTTATTATTTATCAATGTTGATAATGATAATGATGATAGAACTAAAACGTATGACAATCAACTAATGAAAATACACAGGTACAATGATATATGCAATAAAAAGCAAATTACACACACATAAAATGCGAAAGAAAAAAAGAAAGAAAGAATAAAATTTTTTGTTTGGCGTTATGACTAGAATTAAAACAAGTGTAAAAAAACATCAAAAAAAAAGAGATAGATGAATATTATTTTCTTTGTAGCATATATATATATATATATTTTTTTTTTAACGAGGACCAGTTCCTAACGAATATTTATCGCTAATTCCAGTAGCACTACCAGTACCACTAGTCGTTGCAGTTTCTAATGGAGTTCGTTGAACAATTGAAAGCCGACCTGTTTTAAGTCCTGGCTAAAATTAAAAAAGAATTAGAAATTATTTTAATTGAAAACAAAAGCAAAGAGAAAGAAAATTAAATTTATATAATAACTATATTAAGATTGAGTAAATAGATCATTTCAGAGAAGCAAACAATAAGACAAAATGCATTGATAGCGATATTTCAAGTAAAAAAAAAATTATAAAAGCAATTGTTTTCAATCCAAGCAGAATAATAGAAATATGTATCAAATATAAAATTTAAGGTTCAAGACATCAGACAAACAAATGTTCATTCATTTATCAATCGTTTTCATAAGTGAATATAAAAAGGCCTGGTGCAATTAAGTGCAAAAGGAAAAAGAGGTTTAGGCAGACAGTATAATGCGAGAATAAATAAATAGATATATATATATATATGTATATAAATATCAGTGCATATATGCAGATAATTGTGAACTGTTTATTACGGATATATGCGCGCAATATTTTTACATTAGTACTTTTTGGATAACTAAAAACAAAACAACAACAAACAACGGAGAAGAAGAATAATAACAAAGTATTCATGACCCCACACAAAATTCACACAATCGCAAAAGCTACGTCAAACACCAGCACATCCATCCTTATAATAGGAATAGATGTGTGTGTACGTTTATGCATATGTGTATGTGTATGCTTATGTGTATACATATGTATGTGCATTTTCACGCGTGTTTGTCCCAAAAAAAGTAGAAAAAGAAGATGAAAAAACAATATAAAATAAATATTTGTGTAGTCTTTTTTTTGCAGAAACAAAGAAAAACTCAAATTTTTTTTTCTTCTGGGTCTTTTCATTAAAAAACATTACTTACTTTCTTTTTTCCACCTAATAATAATTCTTTATAAGCTTCAGAACGTAAAAATCGAGCATATGTATCACGATTCATCAAATTGAAGATGTGATCCTAAGACAAAAAAAAAAAACAAACAAATTAATTTCATTAGAAAAATAAAATTAGACAAAATCAAACCTGAGCTTCATCAAAGGTATATCGACTAGGAAAATGCGTCATATTAGTTTTTGTTACATTCATGACACGTTGATCAATATTAATTGAATAATAAGCACCTAGAGATAAAAATTCTTCTTACAGAAATCTAATATTTATTACATATATACCCGGTGAAAGAAATTCATTATAAATGTCATGTACTCTTTTAAGTACATCTTTTTGTGATGTATGGAAACGTAATTGTATACATGCTTCATAAAATCTTAAATTTTCACTTGAATATTCTTTATCAAGAAATTTCCAAAAAAGATCACGACCAATTGGATCTTTTAGTAATTCATTTATTGAAAAACCCCATCGTTTAACACGTCGTGATGAAATTTCTTTAGCATTACCCAACTTTTCTAATTCCCACAGATCGGTAGAATCAACTATCCCTAAAAAGAAGGTTATTATTTTTTTTTTTAATATAAATGAAGAGACATTAAATGAGATATTTTATTAATTCAATGATCATTTGACATTTGCTTAGTTCGAAGAAATATGAGCAAATACCATACAAGGACACACTATGAAAAAGAATGATTACTGAAGGGTTTCCCCATATAGAGCACTACAGGTCCTTCTAAACTCGGGCCTAGATCCAAAAGTTTAACTTTTCTCGAGATCGGGTCCACGCAGCTCTCTATACCCTCCATTTTCGTCACCAAAAACTATTATTTTGCTTTGTGATCATATGATAGTCTGAAGTAGTATGTATCCACCGAGTATAATTTTAAGACCTAAAAACTGTTTTTAACCTTAAAAAAATTCGAGCAGATATCGAATTTACATAATGGACATAGAAAATCGCGTGTTTCCCAAAACAACTTTTCCATGAAAAGATAGTGCAGAAACGTCCGCGTTTCTCCATCATAATACATCCCATCAAGCTAAAACTTTGTTTCATATATAATATACACCGTTGGAAATGGGTATTGTTTTTTTTTTTGTTTCAGACAATATTAGTCTGCTAATTTTGGTAGCTGTACTCAACAAAACAAAACATATGTGTTTTTAGGATACCTTCGATGCTTTGGCTTTGTTATTCGAACGACAAAAAAAAAATAAAAAGATACCTATCCCAAACAGTACCTCATCTTCTGTAAGAAAAAGTTTTTGTTTGATTGAATGTATCATCTCGGAGAAACGGCGATGTCCTTTGGGAACACTTTTCGTCATTATAATCTTAATATCTCATCGAAGACAGTATCTGACATGACAGATTTTACTCTCCTCATCAAGATCTACCTGCCATGAAAATTTCAATTTTTTCTGATGAGCTATTCTCTAGAAATCGTTAAAAGCGGGGGAGGTATCCCTGATAGTATGTTTTATTTTATGAGTGGGTTGATAGGTTTTTTTTTTATACATCCACACTTGCAGGCCTACCTACTATAAATTGATAGAACAACTACGTCGCTAATTGAATATTAATGGCAATTAGTTGAAGACAAATGTGAAGGGGACGAACATGTTATGGTTCTAATAGGGACGCTCCCAAAATAATTCTTGTTTTTTTTTTTATCATAAACTCTTCAATTTTCGAGTTCTGTTAATTATAAACAATACTAACGACTAGTTTTTAAAAAAAATAACCTTCAACGATCAAATTACATTATATTTTATATTATTACAAATGCATTCATGTAAAATGTTTTTGATAAGAGAAAAGTCAGGACTTTTAATTATAAGGTTATATTTTCTTTGGATTGAAATTTCAAATGAAAAAAAATTTCGCTTACAAGGATTTGATGGTTCACATGATGTTGTAAATGGATCAAATTCTGCATATTGTTCAAAATATGAGACATAACTTTCACAAACTTTTGACGTTCGTATACATCGTCTATCAATACGATGTTTAAGAAATTCAATTTCATGACATAATTGATCAATTAATGCTGCTTCATCACATTCCTGTAAACTTGTTGTTCGATTTTGTGCTTGATTTGTTGCAATTGTAGGTCCTGTTGACAGTAAACCAACAGTCATAGTTATGAAATTTTTATTAGCAGCAACTGCAAGTGCAGATGCTGGACCTGTATTTGGTGCTGATGTTGCTGACCACTTTCTCGAAGTTCCTGATAATGGATGTGAACTTAAAAATGCTGCTTTTCGTCGCATTAATTTTTTAATATCTTGTTCACTCATATTAACACAACCAGGTGCTGGTCGATAAACATCCCAAAAAGCACGCTCTTGAGAATCAAGAACATTTCGTTCAACTTTATCACGTTTTTTATCAACTCTAATGTAGATAAACAAATTAAATTAAATACGAAATTAGATTTTTCTTTTTTGTTTTTAATTATCGTACTTTATTTGTGCTTCAGCTTGCATATAAATAAGTTCCCATTTACGAGCAAATAATTTTTGAAGTCGAGCTAGATTTTCTGCTTCATAATCAGCTAATTCTAATCGAGTTTTGTTTTGCATCGTTCGTTTACATAAATATACGGCTAAAAAAAAGAAAATTCAATAAATATTTATTGACGAACATAATATAATTAGATTAGAAGTAAGAGCAAAAATAAATGTTATAAGATTAGTCCTAGCAGCTTATTTTTCTACCTAATTTCTAATTCAATAATTCGACTTTATTCTGGAGAAAATAAATAAATTATTATTATAGAAAGAAAAGAAAAACAAATATGAAATCGTACCATAATCAATATTATCGGGTTCACCATGACTCGATGGCCAGAAATAGGGAGTCTAAAACAAGAATTATTTGTCTTTTTTTTTTGGCTCTCTAATATCTAAAATATTATATTTACTTGAAATCGATAGAAAGTGCCATCGTTTTTTACTGTTAATACATGATCTTCAATTGGTAAAATCTACAAAAAACAAAAATATTTCAATTGCAAAAAAAATCAAAAACTATCTTACATAGCCACAAGATGACATAAGATTGGCTAAATGCAAAGCTTCAGCTAAATAAAATAAAATGAATTATTTTATTTAAAACAAAAACAAAAACAAAAAACATTTATATTCATACTCGTATCATCGACATCGAGTGTCTTCAAAATCCATTGTATTAAATCTCCACCGGTAAAAACACTAGGAATTTTTGACATAAAACTTTTAACTGATTT